AATAGAAAAATAGCAGAATAGAAGGAGTAGAAGAATAGGAAAATAGAAAAATAGCAGAATAGAAGGAATAGAAGAATAGGAGAATAGAAAAATAGCAGAATAGAAGGAATAGAATAATAGGAAAATAGAAAAATAGCAGAATAGAAAAGTAGAAAAATAGTAGAATAGAAGAAAAGAAGAATAGAAGAATAGGAAAACAGGAAAATAGAAAAGTAGATGAGTAGAAGAATAGAAAAGTGGAAAAATAGAGAAACAGAAGAATAGCGAAATAGAAAACTAGAGAAGCGCGTGCATTAATTGGAGAACACATTTGCGTCAGCGTGATTGAAATCAGTTTTGGAAGCGAGTATCATTCATTGTTAGTTTCCTACTCACAACGGCGAGGGGATCTCGATTAAGGTCAAGAATAGGAGCCACCGTGAATGGAATAATATTGGTGGAAAACCGATAAATGGTCGTTACGTCCAACAATGCTCTAATCGAGTACCGTACTCGCCCATATCGGCCCTCGAAGCTGCACGGCAGGTTTTCTGGGAGCGTCAGGCTGAACGGGTAGACGCCGCCGGTTATCGTCGACTTTTCTTTACCATCTACCCGTGATGAGAATCCGTTAGTCCCGACACCCAGGCTTCGTGTAGCAATTCCCGATCTCACCGGTCCGCCGTACTTACCGCCCGCCAGATAGGTCTCCACGTGCAGGTAGTTCTCGAACGCCGAAAACTTACGTCGGATCCCGGCCGATCGATCCGTGAAATACACCTGAGCCTCCCCCTTGTACTTAAGTCTAATCCCTGCATGCAGAAAGGTCGCGCTTACAACGGGAACACGCGAATTAATTGGGACGACTCTTCGGGATCGGGGGAGGGTTTGTTACGCGAATTACGCGGGCTCGGGAACGTCCAATTACGACAACAAACTCGTCCACGGTTTCATCGCCGTGTCGGGTAGCCGGAGAATTTTCTGCCGTTTCTTGTTTATCAAATTAAACCAACAACGTATTCGAAATTTCAGCTGTACGTACTACTGGGTGAACGGATATGTAACTCGATCGCTTTGATCATTTTCATTTTGCATTCGACAACGCGGGAAAATGTCGCAAACATTGTTTCATTCGAGCGAACAGGAAATTCTTCGCCAGATCGTAGCGTTCGCGATTTTAACCCTTCGCGGACGAGCATTTATATAATTATATGTTTACATTTTCCACGATAAGGTATATAATTCCGATATAATATGTCGACGTTCGCCCCCAAAGGATCAAAATTATACGCGCTCGCCGAACGATCGAATCCACGCCGCCACGAAACTAATGCAACTAGATCTGTAAGACTCGCGCTGGTACATATTTCTCTACTAATTAGAAGAGGGTATTTAATGGACCGCGACGCTCCAGAACCGAAGCAGCTTATCGATAAACAGCCGTGACAGCCATCCTGTATTTCGATATTCCGAAGGGACCGTCGCGAATCGAATTTTCACTTTCCTCCGCTATCTATTCTACGAGCGTTCCTGCAGCACCAGAATCGTGTTGCGCGCATCGTGGTCGTTATATGCATATACGATCTTCGTACATATAGCGAGAGCAAAGTCTTCTAGGTCACCCGTTATGCAACCCGATCGATGGCACGTTTGGCACGCGTTCGACTCGAGAACGGGCGACAGAGAAATTTTTGTGATTGCGAGCACAGGGGTAAACATCGCGAGAATAAATATAAAGTTGCTCTCGATGCCTGGTTGCGACAAGGCACGATCCCTCGTTCACCGAAACGCTTCGATGTATCGACCCGACCCGACCCGTCGCGGCCCGACGCGGCCCGACTCCGCGATATGCCGTAGTTCCAGCAAGCGGAACTACGAACTAGCTATTCCGGCGCTTGACGAATTTATCTGCCAGGTGAATCCGCGGCCACGTATTAATTACGACCCGCCTTTGCATAGGACGTCCGCGGTGATCTGTTTGCCGCCATCGATCCTCGATCTTCCGATCCGCTTCGATTTTTGTGCCCCCGTTTCGCGCGGCGGCCGTGCTTCAAAATGTCCGCAGAGAAATCCGCGCGGAAGCGCGCACCAGCGTGCCGCAGTTGCCATTTTATTTGTTACACGGTTGTTTCGCTCGTTTCGAGGACGTTCTGTCGTCGATCCTTTCAAACGAGACGTACAAGTAAATTCTCTCGAATTTTTTCTACAGCTTCTGAAGAAAAATGGACAATTTGGAAAGAGAAGATACGATTATTCGAGCATCGCGACTCGTTTTTATAATTTCCGTTTAGCAACGATTACGAAAACCAGGCGCAAGGCTCGAGAATAATCGTGTCTTCTCTTCCCAAATTGTCCATTTTTGTTCGCAAGCTGAAGGAACATTCGGGAGAATTTATTGTACATAATTGGTAAAGTGATTTCTTATACGTTTCGGTATATTCCTCTAGAACAGCGACGTTTCGATATATTCCTACAGAAAAGCATCCAACAATGTGACGTAACAGGCTACTAAATAATACATGACGTTACTAAAATTTTAGTTGCAATAGGTACGGTCAGATTGTACTCGCAGATTGTTCGCGAACATCGTTACGATATCAGAGAGATAAATGCGATTGCGCGCAGGATTGATTTATTGCCGATATCTAATTGAACGAGCTGATTCGATAACGACTTAAGAGTATCCGACCTACTGATCCAATTCGGTTACTTCACCCTGTGCCCTATGCCACCATCATTCGGGTTAAGGGTGTGCACGTCATTGGTCAAGATCCCGCGCCCTCGTTTTTAAAATTCCTCAGACTTTCGCGAAACGTTTCTGCTTTACGAGCTCGACGTTCGACGATTATTTACAAAATGTTGAAGCTTGCACAGGGCAAGCGTGGGTATTACTGCGATTTTTCAACGAGGGCGAACTTTAACAGAGAAGATAATTATATATATTATCCTTCAACTTGAATAGTTATTTTTCTCAAAATATTGCATCTCCGAATGCACGAATCTCATCAAAAAGCGTAACGCAAAGAAATCATACGTGTTTCCAAATATAAAAAATCAATAAATGAATTACAACTGCGATCGCAGTTACTTGTATGTCGTAAATTATCGATATTAAACATATAAAAAAAACTACGAGATTCATTTTTAAAAGATCACCTACTATTTTATTACTTTTATAAAACACCGCAGTATTTGTGGCGTCCGCAGTAATACCCGCACTTACCCCAGACGTTAAGGATTTAAACGATTCTGCAAAAAAATCGCCGGTAAGAGGGGTTAGAAATGCTACTCCGAATCCAGCCGCGAACACGAGGCATCGGTTGAGCGCGAATTCGTGGGCGCGTTTTCGCGTGTTACGGACTTTCTTTTTCGCGCTCTATCCAACGGCCGGAATTGAAATAAAATATCTAGCGCGCTGGAGAGGGTCTCTATAAGCCGGCGCGCGCGTGTTCACCAAGTCAAATGAGATCCCATTACCCGGCAAAGAAGGATAATGAACGCACTGCGCAGGAATCGCCGCGAACTTTCGACCCAATTCCGGCTGCCTCCCGTAACCATTCACCGCAGCAACTTTTCCCACCACCCGGGCGCCGTCGGGCGCGCCGGGCCTTCCAGATTCCCAGAAACTCACCCAAAACGATCACTGGCTCGCTAACATTCAGGAGAACGTGCCCGGAGACGCGTTGCCCGCTATAGTAGACCTGTTGAGGGACGTCCAGGACGATGTCGATGTTTTGAAAGCCGATGCTAGTCGCAAGAAAACGCAGCTAAGGTTATGCTCGCCGCCTGCGGAACACTTTTGCAAAAATACGTCGGTGACGTCGTACCTTTCGGCCAGGGCTGCGGTGGCCGACAGCTCGGCCCCGGTCCCCATGTCCTTGTCCATGGTGTCGCACGGGTTCGCGAGGATCTCTTCGATTATACCGAGGAGGCAGCCAGCCCCATCAAGATCTCAGAGGCCTCCGAAGGAAATCCGAAGTCGCTTCACTCCTCGGGGCTGAACGGGCGCGTGTTCCGACCGCTTCCGACGCTTGGGTGCATGAAACTGGTCGCCGATGCCCGCAGGATCTGGACTCGCCAGGACTCGCCGCGAGCCTCTGGGAGCCTCTAGGACGAAACCGCCGGCGGCTCCTTCGGAGCTCGGCTGGCGAGCGGCGGGTGCTTCGCGTGGTGGCAACGCGTGGGTGCACTTCCGGCCTCGGTCGGAACGAAATGCGGAGCGCGGTCGCGGCTGACGGCCAGCACCCGCTGCCGAACGGGTTAACGACGCGGCGACGTGTTTGTTGACAAGATTCTAAAATTCCGACGAGTCTTCGGAGAGCCAGGACGGCGGACGCATGCGTCGATAGTTCCGCCAATATCGCGCGCGACGCGGAGTCCGTCGCCTCGCGGAGAACAAGCTTCGCTCCTCCGGCCCGGATAATCGAAGGACCCTCCGTCGCGACGGTTCCGGGAGCCGCCTCCTTACAGGTAGATGCGCGCCGCACTGCCGTCCCTCCGAATTAAAGGCACCCGCCGTAATAAGGGCGCCCGTATCGACCGACGATCGCCCGGAGTGACTCGCGGCGTTTAAATTCTGCCGCATCGCTGCCACCCTTTTGTGCCGTCGGGACGCGACGCGTCGTCGGCGACGATCCGTCTCGGGCTGCCCCGCGTAAGAAAACGATACAAAAGCCCGATAATTCGTTTCGGGTATCGGGTCGCCGAGTTTTTCGCATCGACGACGATTTATCGCTTTCGGATTTAATGGGTTGCCGCGGCTGGCGGGCCGTTCGTTCCATTAAGGTCGATGCTTTCGATATTCGTCCGGCTTCTCTCTATCCGTGTTTGTTTCTATTCGATTTTCAATGCTGCAACAACTCTCTAGGATCGTCGGTAAACTACGAGTTTGACGCATTTATTTGTACACGTTTCATACGTTATCAATCGTACACCGGCGTTGAGCAAATTGTCTAGCACGAAGCTAAACCAATAACAACGTATAGCAAGCTATCGTGTCATAGTGATAAATCAATTGTCACGTATTATTGGTCCGCGACGCGTTTAATAACAATACAGCCGGCCAATGGCAATTTGCCGCTTATGACGCAACGTTGCAGCCGGACGGAACGTTTTATGCTATCCTAATCCCGCTGGCCGATCTCGTTCGATCACTTACATATTCCGGTCTCGATCGAACTCGATACGAATCGTTTTTTCTTTTCTTTTTTTCTTTTCGACGTTTCGATAACGATTCTTTTATCGGTCAGCATTTTGTCCGCGATTTCGTCTCATCGCGAGATATAAAAACTACGATTTAGATCGATGCTGCGTCTAAAAAAGATGATCCGCGCGAATGTGACTTTTGATTTTTTATTCGATAAAGAGTGCTCGCGTTTAATCAGATTTTGGGAAGCGCGCGGACGGCTGTCACCGAAATAAACGACGACAAAACGAGCCTGTTAATACATTCGATGTAATGTCCGTTGCATGTCTGTCATAAAGTACGGATAAATATGGATCTGCTTCCAATATGCCTGCAATAACGTTATTATCGATGATGTCGGTCTACCACAACGAGGTTAATCATCGAGATTAAAACACGGAACGCAAATATTCCGGGACCGTCGTTGCTTTATCGCGGAAACACGCCGGCTATAAATAATATCGCGTTTCGCGAAAATTGAATAAGTATATCGAAACGTTTGAAATTTTCGCGATACGTGCTCCGTGGAGAAATAAATACCGAATAAGTACGAAACAGATTTAGGAAACCCGCGTGTTTAATTCGATACTCGTATTCGCGGGATGAAATCGACGTGGCACGAAGCACGCGTCATAGGGCGACAACGTTCATATTTATTTTCAATTATGACGTTGCTTGCGGTGCGAGCGATACAAACACGTTTCCTCTTTGAGAGGCTAATTTTTTTTTTTCGACGTCGCGTTACTCGGTTAGAAAACATTTATAAAGCGGGCGTATTACGTTGTCGCGGGTGCATTACTTGTGCGTCAACGAACGATAAAGCTTCCCTCGCCTGCCCCGCGGGCTTTCGATGAGAAGAAAATTTCGAAATTGTTTAACACCGTTCCGCTCGATGTAAATTACTGATAAACATTCGCCGCTTCGATAATTGTTTTCTTTCTCGGCTAACATTTTAGTTCGCTGTTCGACGAACCGGCTACAAGTATTTTTCGTTGAAAAATTGCTTCGATTGTTCATCGGAAACGTTATGCAACGTCTAATATCTTATCGGCCGAGTGTTGCTTTGCAATGGGCAAAATAGACTGCGATCGATTAATTCAGGGTCAAGGAGCGTGGCGCATGCGGTATAAATAGAAAGCGATCATAATTAGTGGATCGCGGAGGAGGAAGTAAATTCGAGGCACAATGATGAAATCACGTGGCAAAACGAAACTCAGAAATGATTAACAGTTAGTTCGCGAATATTTCGAGAAATAGGAAATATTTATAGAAAAGAGAGATCCGAACGAAAGACATCGTTTACGTTAAAAATTAATGTAGCATACGTCTGCATCGCGTCGCGTAATATCACGCGAAATTTAAAAAACGAGGCCGACGTATTTTCACTGTTTTAGATTTGCTAAAAAGAAATAATATAACCCTGACATAACTTTTAGTTACGCGCAATTTTGAGATGTTTTTATTTCCTTCTTTTTTTCTCGTATTCTCCTCTCTGCTGTAATATTTTTTCGCACGTTTCGTATCTTTTTATAAACACTAAATAAGGTCCGCGCGCTTGAACCGAACGCATATCTCGCAAGGAATAGCCAACAATAAGATAAGCGAAAGCCTAAATACATTTCTGAGTCCGTGCGTGAATCGCGCAACAGGTTTTAAGCGTACAGCGAGGGAAGCGTAAGCAGAAAAAAAGGCTAAATGAGGAGGAAGGAAAAGGAGAAATTATACGCGTCGAACTATGCGCATAGTGCACGCCCGTTGTGAAGTGATAATTGTATGTTCGTAGCCTGTGTGCCGTCATTATGTAATTGCTGTGGTGTCTCTTGAACCGGCGGGACAAGCACCTGTTCAAAATGCGTGGACCATTATGCAACTGCACTCTTGTCGCTTTCGCGACGGAAGCGATTGTATGACGCTTAGCGTGCGGATACCTTGTTCCTTTATTTTTCCGAACGCGTGAAAGTCGCGTGTCATACATTGTAATTGCGGATTGGATTTATCGGTACCTGCGTGGTACCATTTTCCGCTTGAATCGATGTTGCAACGACAATCGCGTCGAAGACTATATTATTCGACGGGTACCATTGCGTATAAAGATATTCGATAATATCTGGAACGGTAATATTACATGCGCGGATTATACGAGTGGATTTATCATATATTTATATATTATGTGAGTGGATTTAAGCTCTTAATTCGCCCTGTGCATAGCGCGGTTCGCAAAACTACGTTATTCTTCATTTCCTCAACGTTGTGTCAAGGACTTCGCGGAACAAACCGAATGTGTAATTTGCTAATGAAGAAGGAACATTTTCTCGTGGTTCGTATTTTCGTAGAAAATAGAAAAAATAGAACGAACTTCGAGACAGAAATTTTGTCGAGAACACGAAATAATCGTACGACCAGTTTCACTCGATTTCCAGCTATCCACAATTACGATTCGATTGTAAAACTTTGATCGAACGGAGACGTCGATTTATTTACAATCTCAAGAATTTCGATTAAATACGAATTTCGAATGATCTTCATGAGAATGCGTGTTAAACTCGTTTAGAATTGATAGATCATTTTTCCAGAAATTCCGCAGGTTTCCCCGGCGGCCGAGAATAAAATGGAGGAACATTGACGAAAAAGAAAGTTTCCGCAAGGTGAAGCTTGAAGGGGGCATTCAGGGTTGTAACGTGAAAACAGCCCGCGCAAGGTGACCCATTTTAATCTATGAACGTATGTAGCCCAGGATTGAAGGAATTGCATATAAAGCGGTAGAAAGGGGCCGAGGTCATTAGAATTTCATAGAGAAAAAGAAGCGGGTGGAAGTATCGAGGTCGTTTTATACTAAAGGCCGGTTTACATAGATATCCACGTTCCGTACCGGAACACGGGAACGTTATTTCCGCATGTTCGTTATTTCGAACGTCAAACAAATTTATCGCCAGGTTTTTCCTAATAAACGTGCGCTCGCGGAATCGTCGAAACATAAAAGACACAAAAGCTTTTGAAACTCGACGAATTAAGAATACGACGAAATTGAATGCTGCGTTATTTTGTATTTGATACAATGGTCGAACGTGTTTCTTAATGAATGAAAATATTTCTCAATTATTAATGCAATCACGGTTATCAAAGGTTACCCGTATTCAATTCGGAACGTCTTCGAGTACAAACGTGTGTGAAACAGCATAAACGCGTTTCGCACAAAGGACGCCGCCGCTTTCCCGAGGTTCATTTCCGAACAGAGCGACCCCGAAGCCCTCGCAGGGTCTTCCTCGCCATCTGTTTAAGCGTGTGCTTCGACCGGTATCTTTTATTCATCTTAATACTCGCTCAAACGCGTCGCTGCTTCTTCTTCCAACGACAAAAATCCCTTTGTTGCGAGCGTTCGTTACGTATTCGCTTTGCGTTTCGGAAATTCTCTCAAATCTCTCTTATCAGCCACGATCTAGAAGGCTGATATTAATCCCGGATACTAATGTGCCCGCTGCGAACTAGAGCCAGAAAGCCCCTCCCTTCCCGTATTATTAGTGTCAGCAAGATGGCCGAGCCACTTTTATCGATACACGTGTCTCCCATAACAAACGCGAATGCTGTGATTCTTTGCTTCATAATCGCTGTATTAACATTACCGAGCCAATGTGCAACGCTATCGAGCAAACTGCGGTTAACCCTTTGGGTACATTCGACGACCGAGGCTCGTTATGCAATTATTTTGCCTAAGTTACGAACGACTAATTGGTCATTCGAATGAAGTCGCACAGAAAATCTACCGCCTTTATATTTATATTATTCCGCCCATCGGCGAATTAAATCCATTCTAAATGCAAGTATTTTTTCAAATAAACCCGCATCCAAGCGGTTGACCGAGGGAGAGGCCGACGATTCGAACGATTCGAAGAACTCGAATCCCAAAAACCGCTTCGTTAAACCGGCGTTCGTTCAGCGGAGATTTGCACCGTTCGTTCCGATCCCGTCGGCTGAACTCGTTAATCAAGTCCATCAACGGCAGCTTAGCTTGGCTGTTTATTCGATTATCAAGCGTCACAGGAGTCTGTAACGACAACGACGCCGACCAAGATTTCTTGCGCGGGGGGGTTACAATTAAACTGCAATCGCATCGAGTCACCTCCTAGTCGAGGCTGCCGCCGGAATCTTATCCGGAGGAATTACCGGGGATCCCCGGCTATCCGTGTAACCGGTTTCGATTTTCTTACCGGGTGCACCTGTATCGTTCGATTCCTCTTTCTTATCGAGACGGAGAAT